TTGCCGCAAGTGGCAGGCGCGTTTTTGCGCAGCGACGCAGGGTTTGCGACTGCCAGAAACCAACCCCAAGCACCTTAACACCCTAACGCCCTAAAAACCCTAAAACCCCAAACTCCGAACGAAACCCGAAAACCCTAAAACCTTGAACCTCAAAATTCTCAAACCCCTCAAGAGGTTACTGAGGGACCTCTTCTAAAGCTAGGATGGCCCTCAAAACTGTCTGAAACATATTCCTAAATATGGTCCTCTTAAATCAAGGGTTTCCCTAACCGTTCCACCTCAAGTATCGTTCCACCTCAAATTCAGCGTGCTGCTTCAGCGCGAAGCCCACGCGCTGAAGCAGCATCCGAAATTGAGGCAGCACCCAAATCGAGGCAGCATGCATTTGGCACGGGAATTTGGCCTGGCATGTTTCTTCTCAAACAAAATAGCATTTCCAGCGAAACCCAGTTGATTTTGACAGCGTGCCACCTCGACTATCGTTCCACCTCAATTTCAGCGTGCTGCTTCAGCGCGAAGCCCACGCGCTGAAGCAGCACCCAAAATCGAGGCAGCACCCAAAGCGAGGCGGAATGGCTATGGAACTCCTTGATTAAACACCCCAAACCCTAAACCCTATAAACCCTAACCCCTAAACCCTAAACCCCAAACCCTAAACCCTAAACCCAACAAGGGAACATACGAAATCTCCCCAGGGGCCTACCTTCTAAGGTATCCCTGCAGCTCAGAGATGTGGGCCGAAGCCAGCTGGCTCGGCTGCCTGCGGCAAAGAAGCAGACTGCTAGGGTTTAGGGTTTAGGGGTTAGGGTTTAGGGTTTAGGGTTTAGGGTGTAGGGTGTAGGGTGTAGGGTGTAGGGTTTAGGGTTTAGGGTTTAGGGTTTAGGGTTTAGGGTTTAGGGTTTAGGATTTAGGGTTTAGGGCACTAGACCCCAGAGTAACCTGGGAATAAAGAGGCTGCGTTTTTTTGGTTTCATAAACTCTGAGTTAAGGGTTTAGAGCTTCTTGGGCTCCTGATGGATGAAGGAATGCTGCTTAGTTAAGAGTCCCCCTCATATACTGCCCACGTACAATATCCATCGTTACAGAAGCTTCAAAAAACAGTTTCCCCACTCAAAAACAAACCTCTCCTACCCTAAACCTTCAACCCCGTAAAACCTTACAAGCCCCTTATACCGACTTAAACCCTGCCGAATCCATGAGTTTCGGCATTAGGGGCTAAGGGCTTACGGTTGATTGCTTGAAGGTTTCACGCTTAGGGGTTCGGATGCTCCCCCCCCCCCCATGCTAACAGTCCTTGACAGGGACCATAGTGATTATAGCGCCCCCCCCCCCCCCCCCCCCCCCTAAACCCTAAACCCTAAGCCCTAAGCCCTAAGCCCTAAACCCTAAACCCTAAACCCTAAACCCTAAACCCTATTCAGGACTGTATAAGGAGGAACATCCCGACTCAGGGGTTTTGCCTCGGGTGAAAAGGCAATTACCTAGGGATCCCAACGTACCCCGTTGGAGTCCAGATAGGAGGTGTGTTGATTCATGCAAGCATCGAGCCCAACATGTTCAACATGTTCTAAGCAGCTTTGCCCCAGGAACAATCTTGACACATGGTGGGTCTGGAGTCTTTCTTGAGATGTGTCTGCTTTCTTTCGGTCTTTCGGTAGCACAGAAGCGCGCGCTTTCTGCCTGCAGGCAGAGTTTTATACCAAGGCGTGCCACGAAGACATGCTGGGAAGGGTCAGTTCGATGTGACCCCCAGCCATGCGATGAACAGGATTATGCCCGTGTCCATCGCCAGGAAAACTAGTCGACGTGGCAGGCGCCTTCCTGGCCTCTTTGCTATCTGCACACAGACCATCAGCTTGAAGATTCATGGGCAACGAGGATCGTAGGTTCGCTCGTAGGGCCACTGCAAGTTGATTCCGGTCGTTCGGAGTGTACACAAGGCTACTCCGAAAAACATGAGAAAAAACAATGATCCCTACCTTGCCCTTTAGGGTTTAGGGTTTAGGGTTTAGGGTTTAGGGTTTAGGGTTTAGGGTTTAGGGTTTAGGGTTTAGGGTTTAGAGGTTCTTATTCAAATAGTAGACGAGCACCGACTGCCGCCCATAAACCTTCAGAAACGCCTATTGAATTCACTCCTGCGAGGCCCGCAAGCCTCACATGCAAAAGGATGTTTGGGCACTCAACCCTGAAGCATGAACCTACCTACAGGAACCCTAAACCCTAAACCCTAAACCCTAAACCCTAAACCCTAAACCCTAAACCCTATACCCGGCAAAAAGCCGGTGTGGAGGAGCCCCAGACTCGAACTGCCGGGCTCGAAAAGCAAGTGAGCAGCTGCTTTGGGAGGTTCATGGACTTTCGGTTCGGGGTTTAGGGTTTAGGGTTTAGGGTTTAGGGTTTAGGGTTTAGGGTTTAGGGTTTAGGGTTTTGGGTTTAGGGTTAGGGTTTAAGGTTTAGGGTTTAGGGTTTAGGGTTTAGGGTTTAGGGTTTAGGGTTTAGGGTTTAGGGTTTAGGGTTTAGGGTTTAGGGTTTAGGGTTTAGGGTTTAGGGTTTAGGGTTTTGGGTTTTGGGTTAGACTCAGGTACAGGCCAATTAGAGTGAGGTGCGGGTGCTGCTTTGCTTTGGCAAGCAGTGTGCGAAGCTCCGTCTTTTCGGGCTTAAGATTTGGGATTTAGCGCAGAACACTGGAAAACCTGAAACCTAAATCCTAAACCTCTCTTTCCTATGTACATGTACCTTACTGGCCACAGGCATCGGCAAATTTGCCTAATTTGTCGTCGGGCAGTCGGCCTAAACCCTAAACCCTAAACCCTAAACCCTAAACCCTCAACCCTTACAGGGTTACCGGCAAAAGAGCACTCCAGGGCTCCGAGATGGACCTTACACTCAGGACCCACTGGTTCGAAAGCCTAAACCCTAAACCCCACACCCCAAACCCTAAACCCTAAACCCCAAACCCTAAACCCTAAACCCTAAACCCTGAACCACGACCCCAAGCTCAAAGCGAAAGACTAAACCCTACACCCTAAACCCTACAACCCTGGAACCCTCAACAACTAAGCTCAAAGCGTCAACCCGGCACCTCAAGCCCACATGCTCCCCAAAGCTTCCAGGACCTTCAGCACCCAGGCTGGCCATGTTTAAGACGTCTGAAGGGTTCAGAGGGTTGAGGGTTTAGGTGTTCGACATGCTCCTACATGGGTTTAGGGTTTAGGGTTTAGGGTTTAGGGTTAGGGCTTTTGCGGTTTGTGGCTTAGGGCTTAGGGTGTAAGGGTGTTTAGGTGAGGTTACAACTGTCAAGCAACTAAAGGCATGCCTAGTTGTGCTTGCTGGTCCCTGCGCCTGTGCTGAAGCGAATTCATGTCAAGCGGACTGTCTTGAACCCGCAATGGCCTCACGGCCCTTGCCTGGGTGCCCAGCTAAGGTTTAGGGTTTAGGGTTTCGGGTTTCGGGTTTACGGTTGCGTAGGGTTTAGAGTTTAGGGTTTAGGGTTCAAGGTTCAGGGTTTAAAGGTTCGGCGCAGAAGCTGAAGGTTGATATGCAGACTAGCTTCGAAAGCTTCGTGAAATGCCACGATTGCAAGGGGTGCCATTTTTGGTTTAAAGAGGCTTGGAAGGAAACCGAAAGCCAAAAAAAGGGAATAAGGGCCTGAAAGTTGAAAACCTGCAGCCCTAAACTGTAAGGATCAGGGTTGTTGGCTTAGGGTTTAGGGTTTAGGGTCGCTGGAAACTCCACACACCATGCAAACCCTACGCACGAAACCCTGCAGAGCCTTTGAAGACCCTGCAACCCCTGCATACCCAGCCCAGCAGACCCCACACACCCTAAGCCCATGGAGGCAGAAGGGACAGGAGAAGTGTCTTGAATATTTCTTGCGCTTTGTGAGCAAGGCTCTCAAGGGGCTTCGAGTACCCAAGAGCCTTTGAAGGCTACTCACTCAGCACCTAAGCTTCCTGGGATATCATCCCTTCATAATTGCCTAGGGTTTTCTGGGATATCATAGTCTAGCCATAATACAGGGACTCATGAGGAAAAATACTCTTGGTCATTACTCCGACCCCCTTTATCAGCCCCGACTGAGGGAGCCGTCCGAGGTCGGTCTCTAAAGAGCTGCCCCGGAGGCCCGATGGGTCATCGGTGCTCGCCCGGGTTCAGCTGCAAAAGCTCCGGCACTTCACATCAGCACTTGGAGGTTTTTGTGGGTACTTATGAGAGGTTTAGGGTTTAGAGCTTAGGGTTTAGGGCTTAGGGGCTTAGGGTTTAGGGTTCCCATTATAAGGCTACGTATAACCTACTTAGGGGACTTAGGGGCTTATAAGTACAGATATGACATTGGGGGTTTTATAAGTACCCTGAACCTCCAAGCATGCCCACGTTAAACGTGTGCAGCCAAGGTGCAGCAGCCTTTAGCTGGTCGACAGAGCCAAAATTTTATGAAACAACCTGCAGCCGCCAGCAGGTCCTCCTTATGGACCCCTTGCGTTCAGAATCACTGTCCAGAGCCGCAGCCCGGAGCATGATGTCCGCCATTGCGGCACAACGTTTCAGCCAGCCGATGGGAATGCAAAACCCTGAAAGGTCTCTCCCAACTTCTCGTACCCTAAACACTAAACCCTAAACGAAACCCTAAACCCTAAACCCTAAACCCTAAACCCTAAACCCTAAACCCTATCACCCCCCTCGCCAGGCTTCTCTAGATCCAGCGCCCCATACGTCGGATGGAGCGCAGAGCACCGGCAAGATGTCTAGCCATCAAGCCCTTGTCTTGACAGGAGGGAGCAAGTTCGTCCCAACCATGGGCTTCACAACAGCCTGCACCTAAACTAACCCCATAAGACCAAGCCCTAAAACCTGAACCCGAAACATACAAACCGCGGCCTATGAAAATGTGGTAGGATATATATATATACATATATCTCTCTCTCTGTGTGTTCATGTATATGTACACATTTTTTATATACATGTATGGTAACCCCCAGCCCCGCCCTTATCCTCATCCTCTAGACCTGGCCCGGAACGTGAACCTCAAATCCAGAGCCTTCGCGCTCACCACCCAGAGAGCTCGCCTCAATCACTTCACGGTTGAAGGTTTATAGAGTTCAGGGTTTGACTTCGGAATCACATTTCAAGATTGTAACTCTGAATTCCGCGCTGTCGTGGAGTGCACCCCCGCGGAAAACTAACGCTAAACCCTAAACCTTGAACCCTTAAAAACTTGATGGCATTCTTTACATGGTGTTGTTGCATGGAACCCTAAACCCTAAACCTAAACCCTATAAACCCTAAACCAAAAACCCTAAACCCTAAACCCTATAAACCCTAAACCCCTGGATAGGGTTAGGAAATTTTTTGGGAAGGCTGACCGCGCCGGATCATCGCTGTGCTGCCTCAGTGTCGTTGCCTCCCGAACCCTCTTGGGTTTAGGGTTTGGGGTTTAGGGTATCCCTTTGCCCTACCTGGACCCCGCCTTAACCCCCAAACTCCAAATGCCTCAACCCTCAACCCTCAACCCTCAACCCTCAACCCTCAACCCTCAACCCTCAACCCCAAACCCTAAACCCTAAACCCTAAACCCTAAACCCTAAGTCAAAGTGCGACTCTGCAGGCCACCAACGCAGAGAGCACCAGGAGCGGCGCCTCGGGAGGAAAAGGTCGACGAAATTGGGCGGAAAATATTATCCCCAACTACTCAGTAGTTGCTACTGAGAGTAGTTACTGCTGAGTTTATATATATATATATATATATATTTTTTTTTTTTTTTTTTTTGGGGGGGGGGGGGGAGGTGGGGTTTAGGGAAATTTGCTTCTGTTGTGGTAATTGGGCTGGTTCGGTTCCACCTTTCGTCTCCCAAGGCGGAGAGCGCAGCAGCAAGTCGTTTGCTCGATGATTATCGCTACTTGATGGGCCCCCATTTAGTCCGTCCAGAGAAACACAGCTTCCCGTCCCGAAAATGCTGCGCCTACATGGCTTCCACTGCCTGCGCCGCGCTTCCCCCCAGCATTGCGGCTTACACCCCCTGCTCCTGACTGCTAGGAATGGCCGAAGCAGAAAAATCCTTCGGAGTTGATTTGAAACGAAACTGGCGAGAGATAAAAAACAAACAGATCACCAGGCCTTAAATCATCTAGAAACAGGCCTTAGATTACTACCAAAAGCTGTCACACGTAGAACGGCAATCCAGGATACGTATGCTTGATGTTCGCGGCTTATACAGGCCGGTGGCCTGTTTTATCTGTTGCGTTACCCTTATATCCCAAATATAGCCCCTAGATACCCTAATAAGGACCCCGAATTATCTGCTCGTCTTATCTAAGTTTGGGGTCAGTCTCCTCCCACCTGCAACCCTCCTACCCATGCACCTTCATAGAGCACCTTCATAGAACTATCCATGAAAGTAAGTAGCCCTGAACCCTAAACCCTAAACCCTAAACCCTAAACCCCAAGACCTAAAACCTGAAACCCCCTCGTGCCCAACAAGCTACCAGCTGCAACATCTCGTCCGGTGACAGCTCCTGAAGAAGCCGGGGAATTCTACCTGAAGGCTCCTAGTGCAGTTTCCTTTTTTGGGGGGGTTAGGGTTTAGGGTTAGGGGATAGGGGTTAGGGTTCAGGGTTTGGGGTTTGGGGTTTAGGGTTTAGGGATTAGGGTCTAGGGTTTAGGGTTTAGGGTTTAGGGGTTTAAGGTTTAGGGTTTAGGGTCTCCCCTAACTCCTCCCCCAGCTCCCCTCCCCGAATTCAAAGACCTCTCAACCCATCTTTGGCAAAGAAAACCCTAGACGTTTGGGGCCGCCCTCTAAACCCTAAACCCTAAACCCTAAAGCCTAAACCCTTTACAAGCCCAGAAGTCCGCCCTTTTGTGAAGGGTCCTGGGACTGTTGCCAGCCCATCAGCACGGATGCTGCCGCGAAGAGGTCAGTCACTGCTGAGGCACCTAAAGGGTTTGATGTTCCTAGGTAGGACATCCCCAAGGGTACCCCTAATCCTAAAGGCCTATATCATTCGAACGGATCTGTAGCTTCTATGGCCAACTTCTTGGAGTATACACCATGGGTAATGATCTACGCAAGATAGTTGGATTTTCGGGTAAACGGATTGGGGCTCACAGGTGAGGTTTTGTCAGGCTTCAAGGATCGCTGAGGGTTTAGGGCACCAACAGCTTTATCCAGCTGTCGCCCTGGTTGCGGCTGCCTTAACCTGGGGAATATCGGACATTGACGGAGGGGAGATGCTCCCTGGTAATCAGCTGGCAGCCAGACCCTCCACCCCTACCACCGCAAACCTCAAACCTGGCCTATTTCACTTTTCAGGAGCCTTCCAGGGGGGGGGGGGGAAAAAGGGGCGAGGGGGGAGAAGGGGGGGGGGGGGGGTGGGGGGCGAGGGGGGGTGGGGGGGAGTGGAGGATGCGAGTTTAGGGGTGGAACCTGGCAATCCTTCAGCGCGACGCTCGAACCCACAAGACCCCAATATTCACCCCCCCCCCCCCCCAGTAACCAGATTATCATAAGGGCATCCTTTTTGGGGTCGGTTACTCAAAAAGGGAACCTTGAACCAAGAAAGGGAAAAGGGACTAGAGGCTGAATAACCTTGTCCAAAAAAGGTTAACCTTCTATTTGTAACATAAAGTATGAATATAAATGTAAATATAAAAATACATGAAAATATAAATATTTATATTTATATTGAATATAAATATAAACATGAATATATAAATATAAACAAACAAATGTGTATATAAGAAAACAGGTTCAAGGTTAACTACCCAGCCCCTCAGAACTTGAGCCCTAAACCCTCAGCCGTTCAATCGCCGAGCCAAGCCGTACACCCTAAAGCCTAAACCCCAAACCCTAAACCCTAAACCAGGGCACTTTCGAAGCAGCTGTCAGCACTGTCCAGTACCAGCGAGCGGCACCTCGGAGATGTCTACACGGTTCGGGGGTTTAGGGATCAGGATGCTGGCTTTAGGGTTCAGGACGTAGGGTTTAGGGGTTTAGGGGTTTAGGGTTTAGGGTTTAGGGTTTAGGATTTAGGGTTTAGGGTTTAGGGTTTAGGGTTCAGGATGTAGGATTTAGGGTTTAGGCTTCAGGGTGTAGGATTTAGGGCTCAGGGTTTCAGGATGTAGGATCTGAAGTTTAGGATGCAGGATTTAGGCTTCAGGATGTAGGGTCTGGGGGTCAAAGGTTTAGGGATCAGGATGTAGGGTTTAGGGCTTAGGGGTCAGGGCTTAGGGTTCAGAATCTAGGATTTAGGGTTTAGGGTTTGGGCTTCAGCATGTAGGATTCGGGTTCAGGATGTAGGGTTTAGGGTTTCGGCTTCAGGGTTTAGGGTTCAAGGTGTAGGATTTAGGGTGCAGGATGTAGGATTCAGGGTTTAGGGGCCAGGATGTAGGGTTTAGGGTTGAGGGTTTAGGCTTCACGGTGTAGGATTTAGGGCTCAGGGTAGGATTTATAAAGTTTAGGGTACCCGTGCCATACGAAACATTTTCACTCCGCAGAGACCCGAATCCCCGACCTCGCACCCACCAGTCCCAGGAGTAGCTTAGGAATAAACGGGCACCTGATTTGTGCCAAAGGGGAATTAGAAGGGAGCCTACACCCTAAAAAGGGGACGAAGGCCTACCTCTGGGTTCCGGCCCAGCGACCCAAACTTTTTCCCTCAAACGCTGAGCCCCTTAAAAGCCTTAGGGTTCAGGGTTTAATTAGGGTTTAGGGTTTGGGGTTTGGGGTTTGGGGTTTATAAGGTTTGGGGTTACTAAACCCGAAAGCTCGGGCGCTTGTCCATCTTCTCCCACGCGGATGCATCGCGGTCCTTGGTCCAAAATTGAGCGCTTGGCAAACACTATCTTTTGGGACCCTGGAAGCCCTAAACAAAATCCTAAAACCTAATCCCTAACCCGCCTGAACCGCCTAAACCCTAAACCCTAAACCCTAAACCCTAAACCCTAAACCCTAAACCCTAAACCCTAAACCCTCCCTAAACCCTAAACCCTACACCTTGCGCCCAAGCCGCCAGGATGTGGTGCAAGCCCTCCAGCAAGTACAGCCAGCTCGCGAGGCCTGTGGTCCGAAAGAGTGTAGGGTGTAGGGTTTAGGGTTTAGGGTTTTAGGGTTTAGGGTTTAAGGGTTTAAGGGTTTAGGGTTAAAGGGTTGAGGGTTCGAGGGTTAGAGGGTTAGAGGGTTTAGGCTTTAGGGCGAAGAGTTTAGGGTCTAGGGCTTACCAGAGCTAGGGTGTAGAAAGCTTAGTGGACACATCAGTCGAGAAACTATGGAGATTAAGTTTAGGAGTTTGGGGTTTAGGGTTTAGGGTTTAGGGTTGTTACAGGAGTCTTTGGCAGCGGGCTGATAGCCCCTCTGGAGTCTTTTGGGGGGGGGGGGGGGGGGGGGGGGGGGGGGGGGGGGGGGGTTTAGGGTTTAGGTTTAGGGTTTAGGGTTTAGGGTTTAGGGTTTAGGGTTTAGGGTTTAGGGTTTAGGGTTTAGGGTTTAGGGTTTAGGGTTTAGGGTTTAGGGTTTAGGGTTTAGGGTTTAGGGTTTAGGGGGGGGGGGAGGGAGGGGGCCTAAGTGTGTAGCCACATGGACCCATTGCCACAGGAATCCCTATAGGGGGGTTAGGGCTTAGGGTCTAGGGTTTACACCGCCCAAACCCCCACCGAACACCCAAATTTTCGCAGAACCGCAACCCTCACGGAACCGGCTTGGGGTTTACGGTTTTGGCGTTTTCGGCTTTGGGGTTTCTACCGCACAAAGACAGCCTCTGCCTACGAGGAATCCCAACGAAACAGAAGGCGACTGCGGGTTAAACCCTAAACCCTAGACCCTAAACCCTTCTGAACCCTAAACCCCTAAACCCCTAAACCCCTAAACCCCTAAACCCCTAAACCCCTAAACCCCTAAACCCCTAAACCCCTAAACCCCTACACCCCTCAACCCCTAAACCCAACTCCCGAAGTGCATCGCCTTTACGCTTCGCGTGCTCTGTGAGAGCTGCAAGGACGGGTGACAGCCACGAGTGCGAGTCCTCAAGGACTTTCGGATGTTGGTTTCAGTTTAGGGTTTAGGGTTTAGGGTTTAGGGTTTAGGGTTTAGGGTTTAGGTTTAGGGTTTAGGGTTTAGGGTTTAGGGTTTAGGGTTTAGGGTTTAGGGTTTAGGGTTTAGGGTTTAGGGTTTAGGGTTTAGGGTTTAGGGTTTAGGGCCAGGGTTTAGGGTTTAGGGCCGTTTAGGGTTTAGGGTTTAGGATTTATGGAATCTAAGGATTTAGGGCTTGGAGCCAACAACCCTGAACCAAAAGTCCTACACCCTACACTCTAACCGCTAAACAACACATCCGCCTGTCAGAGTCGAAGTTTCCGACTACAAGTTGCACAAGCCCTTCATTTTGGGAAACTCAAGACTCCTGTATTTTCCGTATAAACATACAAAGGTAAGGGACCACGCATCAAGGCATCATCTATAGCTTTCCTTACAGGTGTCACTCCAGAACACTCTGTGGAGACCGGGCGAGGAGAAAAGTTTAGTTTCAAAACCTAGCAACCCCACACCGAGGGTGGGGAAGAACATGACATATCAAAAGAGCCTACCTGGCAAAACGAAACGACACTCTAACCCCGGGGTACCTCCAACAACATCTACCCCATCACTGTGCAAGCCTTCCGCAGAAGTAAGCTCCTACAGCCTGAACTGTAACCCCTATAGGCCCTAATCTAAACCCCAACGGTCTACTCGGAGGTTCAGGGTACGTATTCGCCATTTTGAACCGTACTTATCACCCACTCTTTAAGCCCCTTAAGTGCCCTAATATGGCTATAATATTGGGTACCCTAAACCCTAAACCCTATGGACAGTTTTACTTGGTTCATAAGTGCCCTGAAGCTCCAAGTATATACACCCCGCAGCCTCAGCGTCCTTCGGCGTGCGGACGCGGCGGACCTCCTGGGCTCAACTCAAACTACAGGCTTGGATGAGGTTTAGGGTGTAGGGTTTAGGGTTTAGGGTTTATGGTTTAGGGTTTAGGGTTTAGGGGTCCTTAAGGCCCTATGGGACGTATAGGGAAATCTCCCGAGTTGCTGTTGTACGGTCGGTCTGCAGGGGGCTTTCTGTGGAAGGTTCAGAGGGCTACTTTCCTAGGCAGGGCTCAGGGTTGAGGGTTTAGGGTTTGTAGGGTTTAGGGTTTAGGGTTTATAGGGTTTAGTGGTTTTTAGCGTTTATGGTTTAGGGCATTTTAGGGTTTAGGGCTTACGGTCTAGGGTAGTTTGTAAGCCTACCCAAGGAATATTCAACCCAAAGCCCTATATTGAAGCCAGGGCCAGGCAACCGGATTTCACTCCTAGATCCTAAGCCTGAACCCACAAAATTGGAGATGGCAGATAAAGGTAAAAGGGCACCCGGAGTAGGGTGGGTGGGGGTGCGGTTAGGGTTTAGGGTTTAGGGTTTAGGGTTTAGGGTTTAGGGTTTAGGGTTTAGGGTTTAGGGTTTAGGGTTTAGGGTTTAGGGTTTAGGGTTTAGGGTTTAGGGTTTAGGGTTTAGGGTTGAATGGGGGTATGACATTCCTCAAAATCATGGTTTAGGGTTTAGGATTTCCTGATTCAGACCCTGGCAACCCCAACTTCACCCAGGAGAGAAGGGGAGGCAGGACGGGTGACCCTTAAACCCTAAACCCAAAACCCAAAAAACATTAAACCCAAAACCCCTAAACCCAAAAAACCAAAAAGAGAAAAAACAAAAAAAAAAAACATAAAAACAAAAAAATCCCAAAACCCTAAACCCTAAACCCTGCAGGCCAAGGGTCAGAGTCAGCAGAGGCATCGCGGATCATCTCCTCCACCTCGAATTATGAGGTTCTTAAGGGAGGGTTTAGGGTTTAGGGTTTAGGGTTTAGGGTTTAGGGTTTAGGGTTTAGGGTTTAGGGTTTAGGGTTTAGGGTTTAGGGTGTAGGGTGTAGGGTTAGGGTGTAGGGTGTAGGGTTTGGGGTTCAGCGATTAGCATGAGGGGTAGGTACCTGGGGAAGCTTCGGGAAGCCTTAGGGAGGGTGGGGAGTGTTAGGGAACCTGGGGTTACATACAGCCCTGAGAATGTACCACCAGGAGCTTCAGGTTCCAGTACCCTAAGCCCTAAGCCCTAAACCCTAAACCCTACTACACCCTAAACCCTAGACCTTCCTCATCTAAACATTTACTTCTCAAACCGCGTAGACAATTCCTCGAAACGCATAGCTGCCTTATAAATCGAACCTGACACCCTGTAGGATCCCCAAGTAACCTAGGATTAAGATGGGTCTTCCGTTGGTTTGCTTACAAGGGCGTTTACAGGGAACTGTCAGGTCTTATAAGCCCTGCAACCCTTAAACCCAAAACCACAACGCAGAGATTGGGGTGGTTTTCCGTTGTGCTTGTGCCTTAGAGGGGGGGCTCGGTTTAGGGGTTTAGGGTTACACTCCCGAAGCTTCGATATGAGGAAATGCAGCGAGTAAGGGGGTCTCCTAGCTTTAGCCTAGCTCATCAGCAACCCGGATCTACCTGGAGGTTCAGGGTACTTATTTTCCTATTGTTATAAGTGTACTTCTAACCCACTTGTAAGCCCCTTAAGTGCTGAAAATCTGGTTATAGTTTGGGTTACATGTACAGCTATAATTAATTGGTTCTTGAGTACCCTGAACCTCCAAGCAGGGTATAGGGCGTAGGGCCTCGCATACCGTCGGACGCGGGGCTTCCAGGCGTGCACTGAAACCCCTCAACCCTAAACCTAAACCCTAAACCCTAAACCCTAAACCCTAAACCCTAAACCCTAAACCCTAAATCCCAAAAGCCATAAAACCCTCGACTCAATACCCTCAACTCAAAACCATGAGGCCCTCAAGCTCCCAGTACACTTCACATGGTAAAACCACTCCTTGGGTTTGGGGACCTAGAAACCTCATGTCACGGAAAACATACAGGAGGCCAAAGAAGCTTCAGCAAACGTACAGGAGCCCAAGGACATGTTCAGCGCTATCCCCTTTGTACACGCTGTATGAATAAGGACAAACAGCCCGGAACACCCATTCTCATGACCCCCTAAATCCTAAACCCTAAGCCCTAAACCCTAAACCGTCCTAAACCGTCCTAGAACCCTAAACCCTAAACCCTAAACACGAGACCCTAAACCCTAAACCCAGCGGAGGGGCCAGATTGACGACCTGAAGGTCCTGGGCGTCGTGGATGAACTGCCGGAGCTTCTCCTTGTCCCATGCCTGAGACAAAAAAAAGGTAGGGTTTGGGGTTTGGGTTTGGGGTTTAGGGTTGAGAGTTTAGGGCTCGGGTTAGAGTTTAGTTTAGGGTTTTAGGGTTTTAGGGTTTAGGGTTTTAGGGTTCAGAGCTTTGGGCACACGAGAATGAGAGCAACACTAGCGACAGCTGCCTAAGCCGCAACGCCCTCCAAATACCCCCCCCCCCCAGCGAACCTTGGCCCCAAACACGGATCCCGAATCCTCAAACCCTCAAAGCCCGAAAGACTCAAAGCCTGAAAGCCTGAAAGCCTGAAAGCCTCAAACCCTCAAACCCTCAAACCCCAACTCCTGAGAAAACACAACCCCTAATCCCGAACCGAAGTTTTGTTTTTTCGGGCCGGGCCACGACGAAAGTTACGGCTTCAGCAGCCACCACCTGTGGACTTGTTGCAATAGGAGGTTTCGGGGCTGGAAGCCCTAAACCCTAAACCCTAAACCCTAACCCTAATCCCTAAACCTTAAACCCTAAACCCTAAACCCTAAACCCCGGTTGATGGGGCTCTCGGGACTGGAGTTCGTAGGGGAGTGGCAGCCTGGAGCCTAGCACGCCAAGGCAGCGTCGGTCTCTTGTGGAGGGCTTTGGGTTGGCACGATATACGAACTCCCCCCCCCCCCCCCCCGCTTCCCAGTAGAGGACTCCTCATGCACATTTTGCCGGAACGGAGGCTGAGCTGAACTCTAAACCAAACCCCTATTTCCAAACAACACTGTTCTCGTCTAACCCTAAACCCTGCAACGCTAAACCCTATCATAAACCCTAACCCTCGTATAAACCTTAAACCCTATCCCCTACACCCAAAACCCTACCCCCACCCCACCCCATCCCCCCTCCCGGACCAGAAAGAACACCCTAAACCCTAAACCCTAAACCCTAAACCCTAAACCCTAAACCCTAATTATAAACTCTAAACCGCCTAAACCCTAAAACGGTTGGTTGCGAGCCTGGTCCTCAAAAGAACTCTGAAGGACTCCGCCAGGCTTCACCTCCTCCTCAAGGGGGGCAAGAGGGCTTGGGGCTACTTGGGGGTCGAAGTTTGGGGATCATAGGGTTCTATAGGGTTTATCGAATTTATAAGGTTTAGAGGGTTAGGGTTTGGGTTCATGGAGGGTTTTGTTCAGGTCTTAGGGTATGGCTGGTGCCGCTGTAAGACCCATACAGGAATGGCCCCACCTCTCACTCCCGGCACACAAGCCTTTTCTACTTGAAGCTTCATGGTACTTATTAACCAATGATAGCTGTCATTCTAACCCAAATTATCACCATATTAGGGCACTCAAGGGGCTGATAAGCAGGTTGTAAGTACAGTTATAATTGGTGCCTAAGTACCCCCGGAACCCTAAACCCTAAACTACCCAGGTATAATTTTTCCCCCTTAGACTAACAGTCCTCAATGGGGACTTTGATAGGGGATTGTATATTCCCTATTCAGGACTGCTAGTATAAGGGGAACATCCCAACCCTAAACCCTAAACCCTAAACCCTAAACCCTAAAAACCCGCTCAGTAACCTCTGCGCCCGAAGCTCCCCCATGAAGCCTGCGAGGTCGTGTGCAAAGCTCTGCCGCGGACCAGGATGCGCAACTCCTGCCCGGGGCATGTAGGCGGTTTAGGGTTTAGGGTTTAGGGTTTAGGGTTTAGGGTTTAGGGTTTAGGGCACAAAGCCCTGAAGCCTAGACACTTAAACCTCATTGTTGTGTCTAGGGCTTGGATTTTGGAGAATCAAAACCTGTAAGACTATAAACCCGAAACACAAGAGAGTTGTAAGAGAGCGAAGAGGAAGGAGAGTGTGCGAGAAGTGCAAAAGAGAAGGAGTTGTATGTACACACTCACACACACATACATACATATATATATATATATACTAGGCTGGCCCTTCAAACCCTCTGAAAATATTCCTAAATATGGTCCTCTTAAACCCAATAAAATATCCCAAGGGCCTACCTAGTATATATATATATATATATTTATATTTATATTTGTTTCGAGAGAGAGATATCGATAGATGCATGTCTAGGTGTCTGTGCATCTAAAAGTTCACATGGTAGGTTTGACAAGACACTGAAATCGAATCCCAAGATTCTGCACACTGAGCCCCAAGCACGGGAAGCTGTGAGCCCTGCACCCCAAACCCGCTTAGCTCTGAACCCTAACTTTGAAATCCATAACCTCTAAGCCCAAACCCTCAGGACTAAACCCCTAACCTCCCAACTCCTATCCCGAACCCCCAAAACCCAACTCAAACCTCAAACCTGCGCGCTAAACCCTAAACCCTAAACCCTAAACCCTAAACCCTAAATACTAAACCCTAAACCCTGAACCCTGAACCCTGAACCCTAACGCCACCTGGGGCGAAGCCAGCATCTCGCCCGCCGATGCCTCGCCCCATCGACAGCCGCCACATGCTAGGAGCCTGGCTTGGGACTTAGTTTGGGGCTTGGTTGGGGCTTCGGGTCTAGGGTGCAAGGGCATTTAGGGTTTTGGTAGGGCTTAGTGGGGGTTCAGCAAGAGGTTCAGGGGTTCTCGCAGGGTTTTTTAGTTTTTCGTTGGGGTTTGGGGTTTGCGGCTTTGGTCCTAAGGGTGCAACTAACGCCCAAGTGGTGTTCCTGTAGCCGCTATGTGGGTGGCTGGGGTTACTGGGAGCATTGTGTTTCTGTGAAACTTTCCTTGGAGTCTTGAGGGCTTTGGGGTTTCAGGATTCCGGGAATAAGAGTCTTTGGCCACGGCGCCACAGGGCGCAGCATCTAGATTAAAAGTGTAAAACTGTGGAAAATATGAAATGAAGCATACCACATCAGACATCATCTACTATGAAAATATTAAAGGACAAAACTATGAAAAAGTACACACAGCTATCGGATATTGATTGAGTTGGTGAAGTTCAAATGTTCGACTCTCTGGACCCGGAGCCCGAAGCCCTGGAAATCCTTTCCCCCTTAACCCCTGAACCCCTACTCCCCTAAACCCTATAACCCTATAACCCTATAAGCCTATAAACCCTAAACCCTACCCCTACACCCAAAGAACTCCTTCTCCAAGTCAGCCCCAAGGAGCCGGTGGAAAGTGCTCACCGAGCAATCCTTCGACGCCGTTTTCCGCGCTTTTTTCGGGAGCGAGGCTTCGAGGGTGAGGGCTGTTTAGGGTTCGGGTTTAGGGTTTTGGGTGTCTCGATGAGTGGGCGCGCTGGTGCTCCACCCTCACCTTAAACTCTACGGGTTTAGGGTTCTTTCGAACTCTGATCGCGCTGTTGTTTTTTCCAGTTCGCTATTGGCTACGCAAGCCCCAAAAGCCGAACAGTTGTCCTCGTAGGCAGGGGCCTCTCAAGCAGGCCTCCCAGGCAGGGTTTCCAGGCAGGGGCCTCCAGGCGGGGCCTCCATCCCAGGCTTCGCCTCCCCGCAGGGCCTCGCCTGCAAAACCACGGTCGGAGGTGAGGCTCCTCTGGGAGAGGCCCTGGGAGTCCTCCCAAAAGGAGGTTGCCGTGTTTTGCCGACCTGACGGGTTTCTCGCCAGCGACCTGCCGGGTCCACCGCACAGCCCGCAGCTGCCTGCGGGACTGGAGCTCCGTCACCCGCCGGAGGGCTTCTGGCTCTGGAGCTACCTCGCCTGCCGGCTTCGGTGCGTTCGCCCTGCTCGACGGCCCCGGGCTCACTCAGTTTAGGGTTTAGGGTTTAGGGTTTAGGGTTTAGGGTTTAGGGTTTAGGGTTTAGGGTTTAGGGTTTAGGGTTCAGGGTTTAGGGTTCAGGGTTTAGGGGTTGAGGGTCGTTCGAGTTTTGGGGTTTGGGATTAGGGCTCCTGGACCATAAGTCGTACGGGTGATTCGGCTTGCTCATTGGGGTTGTGGGGGTTACAGCAGGAGAGCGCTGTGCTTGTCAGGGGATGGATGCCATTACAACTGTCCAACCGCCCTTGACCACTATAGCGAATGACATCACGTCCCACAAAAGCATGTGATCGAAAAGCTGCCCACGCGGGGTTCTGTTCCCATGGCTCTTGTGCCCAGAGTCCTGTTTTTCTTAAAGTGTGGGGGGTGTAGCGTTTTAGGATTTAGCGGATTGAGATTTTGGGCTGTGACCCTGAAATTTTGGAGGCCTCAAGCGCATGATTGCTCTTGAGGGGGAGGTGCCCCCAAAAGCCTCAAATCATCCCTACTTCAAAGGGAGCACCCATTCCCAACTCGACTGTCATGATCCTCATCTAGATCCACGAGTAACCCAGGAATGAGAAACAATGGTGCCCCTTTTGGTTTACAGGGGCTTACAAGAGAACCTGAAACCCTAAAAAAAGGGGAACAAGGGCCTACTTCCGGGGAGGGGAAGGGTTAACACTTAGGCATAAGAGGCTTTTAGGGTTTAGGGTTTAGGGTTTAGGGTTTATAGGGTTTAGGGTTTAGTGTTGCTGTCAAAGCCGGAAGGAAGCATCCTTTCGAGAGATGGACCCTGGGATAAGAGTCCCTTCTAAGCGGTAGTTACATGGTCCCTTCATACCCAATACAAATTCAGGGCCCATACATCAGAACCCGTTAAAGGAGGTCATGGACCATATTGCCCATGTAACTACCGTAAGAGTCCCGGGGTGTCGGAGCGCTAGAATTTCGGGCCTGGCTGGGCTGGATCTGCTTTTGCCACGGCTTCGGAGGGCTGTGGCAAAGACTCGTGCTCAGTAGGGTTTAGTAAACCCTAAACCCTAAACCCTAAACCCTAAACCCTAAACCCTAAACCCTGTGTAAAGTCCTTGTCGTGAAAGCTGCGGGCATACAGCAAGGCCTCGTTCTCATCCAAAGCCACCTCTGTTCTGGCTTAGGGTTTAGGGTTTAGGGTTTAGGGTTTAGAGTTTAGGGTTTAGGGTCTGGGGTCTAGGGTTTAGGGTTCAGGGTCAGTCAAGGTTTGAAGTTCAGGGTTGAGACTTTAGGAATCTTAGGGTCCCATCACTGAATCGATACCCTTACCGAAGCAGTTTGCTTCAGACTATCCAGGGGTGAACTATGGTAAAGGGCTCAAGGGGCGCTGTGTTCTCTAGGTTTAGCCCAGACCCTAAGTTAAACTCCTCAACCCCCAACTCCTTCAGCCTTCGCGGCCCCATAGCCGACCGAACTTCTCCAACAACAAAACAAATCAAGAACCCTAAACCCTAAACCCTAAACCCTAAACCCTAAGCCCTAAACCCTAAACCCTAAACCCTAAACCCTAAACCCTCCCCCGAAGCCCCAACAGCCCCACAGAACACCCAGCATGCCCTGGGGTTGATCTTGGTAGCTCAGTTGCCATATTACAAGTTGGGATGTTCCCCCCTATACTAACCCTAAACCCTAAACTTGGGTTCGGCCGGTCCACACTAACAGCCACCACCAGCAGACCCACAAATAAAAGCACCCGGTAAATGCCAAAAAATTGACTGAGATTCCTGCTATTTCTGGTGCTATTTCTGGTGCATGTTTTTGTGCTATTCCTGGTGCTATTTCTGGTGCTATTTTCTGTGCTATTGTTTGTGCTATTTCTGGTGCTATTTTTTGTGCTATTGTTTGTGCTATTTCTGGTGCTATTTCTGCTGCTATGTGACTAACAGTCACCACCAGCAGACCCACAAAAAGAAGCACCCGGTAAATGCTAAAATTGACTGGGATTCCTGGTGCTATTTTTGGCCTGTGTGTTATAAGGCCACGGCGCTATTTGACTGTTAGTGTGGACCGGCCGAACCCAACCCTAAACCCTAAACGCTAAACCCTAAACCCTAAACCCTAATCCCCATTATGGGCTGTTAGTAAAGGGGGAACATCCCAAAGGGTACCCTTTTGGAGGGGTTGGTTACCTTTTCAAGGGAACCTTGGACTAAAAAAAGGGAAGAGGGTACCTGCGGACTACCGGGTTCTTGGGCTTGTTGAGTGTTTCTGGGGATTTAGAGGGTTTAGGGCTTAGAGGGTGTATAGAGCGTAGGATTTAGGAGATCAACAGTTCCCCCCCCCCCTCACACCCACCCTAACCCTAAACCCTAAACCCTAAACCCTAAACCCCAAACCCCAAACCCCAAACCCTCAAAGCCACCAGGTCGTTGGCCGACAGCGACTTCAGGGCGCCCAGGAAGGTGGAAGTCACCAGCGGCAGCAAACATCCAGAGTCGAATCTTGGTAGGGTTTAGGGTTTAGGGTTTAGGGTTTAGGGTTTGGGGTTTAGGGTCTAGGGTTTAGAGTTTAGGATTTCGGGATTTCGGGTTTAGGGGTGTATGCAGATTTCTACTTCTATGTGACACCATGACTTTCATGAACCCGTGCCAAACTCCTACTTTTGTCAGCCATTTGTTGCTTGGGGCCAAGGCCTTTTGAGTCTGAGGATCAGGGCTTGCGGGGGCGGGGTGCGATTACTACCGTTTGATTTTACATTTTTTTCTAGGCTGCCTTTTTCGTGATCACGGGTTTAAGGGTTTGGGATTTATGGTTGAACATTTTAACTTTCCCGGGCGCGGGGTGTGGGGCTCAAGATACGCCCACCACGTCGAGCCGCACATCCTCGACGGACGAGGAGATGCTGTCCATCGCCCCGCGGATCTGCTCCAGCCACTGGGAGGCCCAGCAAACCTCGCTGCAAACCCGAAGCCCTAAACCCTAAACCCTAAACCCTAAACCCTAAACCCTAAGCCCTGAACCTAGGAAACCCCAAACCCTAAAGCCTGTTCCTAAAAGACACAAAACCTGAAGATCCCAAACCGTAAAACCCCTGAAGCCCTAAACCTCAAAAATGCAAAGCCCTAGTGGCCTAATCGTCCCGAGGCTTGCTGAAACAAAAGGTAGTAGACTAGTATGTCGGGCTTCCATTCCCGGGCGTCATAGCTTCCCCTCATAAGCGCATGAGCCGCGCACAACCAGGCCTAGCAGAGTGTCCCAGGAGAGTGTGACGTAGGGTCGAAAGCCTATGGTGACACTGAACGGAACAGGGTTGTTCCATGGACGCTTCATCTGAACCCTTATTTACAACTTGTCTACCTTATAAAACACAGAGGACCAGAACCATAACAAGTTCCCCTTACTAAAAGCCGTAAATCCTGAACCCTAGGTTCCCGCTGACAGCTTGAAACTTCAAGCTTTGGGGCTCGAAGCGCAACTTGCGTCATTCAATTACGCTTTGTTGAGCAGCTTACAGCTTACCTTAAAAAAAAAAACGAGAACACCTCCTACATGACTTCAGGAATATTCCTTGACTAAGCACCCTACAAAACTGAAGGAAACCACACTCCCCATTAAGCCCATAAACCCTGCAAACCCCTAGCCCCTCAATCCCCTAAATCGCCTAAACATTAAACAAGGACACCCAAAAAGTGTAAAGTTCAACTACTGGCTTAGTAAGCAAGCCCTGTTTTTATAGGAGGCCTAAAAAAATAGCATACGCCATTTTTATTTTATTATTCTTAATTGTTATTTACTTTTTTTTTTTTTGGGGGGGGGGGTTCTTATGGTATAATTATAGGGACCCTAAGGGGATGCTTTTAGTAATTATTCCGACCCCTATACTTGGCTGTACTTAGCAGGGTAGCTATAAATCAAGTGTTTAGCCGCCTTGTTAAGAAACCCAATAAACCCAAAAAAAGCTAAGGATCTAAAGTCACAGTAAACTACCACAAAGTATGGTACCCATCCTGTGCGCCCTCCAGACTGTTTGCTGTCCGGGAAGCTGCGTGGCCCGCGTCGTGCGGGTGCATGTGGGTGTGCATCAGCACCTCCAGGTTAGGGGTTTAGGGGTTTAGGGGTTTAGGGCTAGGGTTTGGGTTTGGGGTCTAGGGTTACGGGTTTAGGGTTTGGGGCGTAATTGATTCATTACTTGAGTAACCCCGAAGTCTAATTAATTATGACATTTCGATAAACCTCCCCCTAATAATAAAAACGCTTTTCGAGTTTTTATTGCGCGGGGGGGGGGGGGGGGGGGCCTTCAATATTAGGGGGAAGGGATTAGGGCAAAGACACAGGAGTGGATTAGGGCTTAGTGCTCGGAGATCCCCTACACTCCCTAAACCCTCAACCCTCAACCCAGGGTTCGGGTTTAGGGTTTCGGGTAAACCCTCCACCCTAAACCCTGCATCCTGGACGGCACCAGTCCGGCTGCAATCGCAGTCGTCGCGAGGTCAACCGTTCCCATCAAGATCCTCGACGCAGAACGCTGTGGTAGGAGGGGCACCCGGATGCTCCAAGAGGGTTTAGGGTTTAGGGTTTAGGGTTCAGGGCTTAGGTTTGGGGACTTCTCAAATAGCAATGGAGAAGTCCTGAAACTTCTCCGTAAGGGGTTTTGCCATAATGAACAGATCGTGGCGTCGCTGGGCATGCCCAGACCCTTCCGATGAAGCTCCGGAAAATCGTCTTTCAGGGTAGTTCCCCAAAATAGGGGCACTCAATATTTTTCTGTACATATATAATACTGTTGTACAGATATATATATATATATATATACATACACACACATAGATTTCCTACATACCCCAAAAGTGCGCTTTCATCCTCATCCTAGAAGCCGCTGCGTGTCGGAACCCCCCCCCCCCCCCCACTTTTGAAGGGAACCTGCTTTGCTACATCCCTGGGCCTGTAGGGCACCTACCGGACTACAGTTCACGAAAAGCTCTTTGGCGGTTCCTGTCCGAGTGGGTTTGCTTAGGATTGAGGGTCCACGGCAGTGAATGTTGCTGCTGGTAGTTTTGTGAGCCTAGCACACTCACGTGACCTGCATCTGCAACAAACCAAAGTAGATTCGCCAGCAAATTTGGCGAGGCATCGCATGCTTGGATGTGATTTCTTGCCGAGCCCAAAGATTCACGTCCCTGAGCAAGCCCAAATTGAATCTCAGTTCTATGGCCTTCCCGTTCTTGTGTCTGTGCGCTGCTGTGCGCTGCTGTGTGCTGCTGTGTGCTGCTGTGTACTGGTGCGTTAGGGTTGAGGAATTAAGGTTTGTCGTGGTTGTAAGGGTCTGCCTGTCATAGGCTCGTGTCAAAGGAAGACAGCAGGTACTTCCTAACTAATTAATAGCCAGGGAACCAGCTAAAAAAGAGATGGACGGCGTGAGCCGGGAACTGTTTACTATTGCTTATCCTCAAGGAGTTGTTTCCACAAAACGCCTTAAAGACTTTGGCGGTTTAGACGAAGGATAACAGGGAATTTCCGCCTCCCTGGTAGCCAAACCCAAAAACCCAAACCCTAAACCTAAACCCTAAACTGAACCCTAAACCCTTAACTCGTAAACCCTAAGCAGCTGCACACTGGCAAGGGGCTCTGCACCATCCGTGTCCAGTGGCTCCTCTTGAGGGCTCACGGTTTAGGGTTTAGGGTTTGGGGCTTAGGGTTTTCTTAGGGCTTTACCTGAGGGGTCCCAACATAGTTCCTTTTGGGTGATAGTTGCGGGGGGGTGATCGAAAACAACCCTCAAAATGTACCACATAGGAGCCTTCAGGTAGGGGTTTTCGGGTTCGGGGCCGTAATCCCTAAACCCTAAACCCTAAACCCTAAACCCTAGACCCTAGACCCTAGGCCCTAGACCCTAAACCCTAAACGATAAACCCTAAACCCGAACCGGTTTCAGGGTCTGGGTTTGATGGTCTAGGAGTCGACAGGGGGAGCTGAGACAGCGCCTCTGTCCCGAGCACCTTGGCGGCACTCGACAAGCCAGTGGTCTCGGCTGCTTTCCTTGGTGCCCCAAGTTGAGGGTTTCGGGTTTAGCCGTTGGGGTTTAGCGTTTAGGGTTTAGGGTTTCGGGTTTAGGCTTCACTGTGTAGGGTGTAGGGTGTAGGGTGTAGGGTGTAGGGTGTAGGGTGTAGGGTGTAGGGTGTAGGGTGTAGGGTGTAGGGTTCAGGCTGAGGCCCTCAAGGGTTTTTCAGAAGAAGCAGGGGGTTTGCTCCCTCTGGCTTTGTGTCCCAACCAAGCACCAGGATGGGTTACTGCTGGAACTCCTCTAGTCCTGATCCCTTGCACCTACTGTGAGGCTCGGATCGAAACACTAGAGCCCATGCAGCGAGCCCCTAAACCCTAAACCCTAAACCCGAAACCCCTTAAACCCTTGAACCCCGATCGCAAGCTATACGCCTAAACCCCACCCCACCCTAAACCCCAAACCAAAACCCTAAACCTTAACGCCCCAAAACCCCTAAACCCCTAAACCCCTAAACCCCTAAAGCCTAAACCCCAAACCCCAAACCCCAAACCCTAAACCCTAAACCCTAAACCCGAAACCGCAGCCAGGGATCTCTTGGGCACCTCCTAAGGCCACTTGGCATCGCTCGGTGAAAGAGGTGGGGCTTTTCAGATCCTGGAAGCTTAGGGGGGTTAGGGTTTAGGGTTTAGGGTTCAGGGTTTAGGGTTTCGGGCTTCGGGCTTCGGGCTTCGGGAGTTGAGGTTTGGGGGTTCGTAGGTTTGAGGGGTGGCCAGACAGCCAACAAAAGCTGAGCTCCAAGGAGGGCCACCGGAAGACAGGGAGTAGCAGGAAAGGTTTGGTGGAACCGCTGCAGGGTTGAGAGAGATGACACGGCAGTGGCAGTGACAGAGTGCCGGCATATCCACAGCACGCTCCCCGAAGACAGCGCCCAGGGAGTGGCCACCACAGGGCGTGGCAGGCGCTACAAGACAAAACGAGGGACGTTGAGGAGCAGCCCACAAAAGTCCACAAAAGAACGTGGAGCTGCAGGCTACAAAGGAACACGGAGCTGCAGAGCTATAGGCTAACACCCGTTGGGAGGACCAGACATGAACAGGGATAGCAACTCCCAAGGTCACAAGGAAACGCGGCACAAGAGCACGGAGGGCTGACCTCAAGGTAGGCCACAAAGACCAGGACACGGCAACGCCCAGGTGAGAGACCGCCAGAAGAAACCCACAGCCAGCAAAGGCGCTTGCCGAAGCTGAACCCCAAGGAGGACCACCAGAAGCCGGGGCACAGCAGCGCCCGGTGGGAGGCCACCAGCCACCGACGATGTGGCGCGAAGGCTGACCCCAAGAACAGCAACACAAACACCGCACGCTGAACTGCCGCACGCCACCCCCCGCACCTTAGGCAGAGGGAATGCAAAAAGAATGCGAAGAGCAGAACAAAGAAACAGGGAAGACAGAAAGAGAAAGAGAGTGAGAGAGTGAGTGAGTGAGTGAGTGAGTGAGTGAGTGAGAGTGAGGGGAAGGAGAAAGCCGAAGGAAGTGGGACGAGGCCACCGTCGCACGCACCGCACCCCCAGCAATACTAGCAGAGTAGTACTGCCAGAGGCAGCAGCTGCTCACCAAAGCACAGCAGGGAAAAAGAAAGCGGAGGTGGAATAGAACACCGCAGGTTGACACGCAAAGCAGGCACACCACACCGCGAGGAGGGTGAGGAAGCGGACGCGACACAGCACAATAGGGACGCAGGACCAAAGCGGCCAAACCGCGCACCCGAATGTGCAGAAAGAAAGAAGGATAATCGCCATGAAAAGCAGAGGCGAAAGACGTGGCAACAGCAAGGCGGCACAGAAGGGCGCAGGACATGCTCGTCCCCACCGAACAGCAGCGTGACCTGGAGGTGGGGGGTCAAAGGTTGAGGGTCGAGGGCTTTAGGGTTGAGGGTTTAGGGTGAAGGGTTTAGGGTTTATAGGGCTTTCGGGTTTAGGGTGAAGGTCTAGGGGTTTTAAGGGCTTTGGTCGGCTGTAAGGTTTGGGCACTTGAGGGTACAGGGTTTAGGGCTTCAAGTTCCCCGAAAGCCTAAGCCCTGTAAACCCTGAACTCTAAAGGAGCCATGACTCCGGATGACTTGTGTGGACAAAAAAAGTCTCCTGGCCTTTGAGGCGGAGGTTTGGGGGTTTAAGTTTTGGGGTTTAGGGCTTAAAATGGTTAAAGGTTCTGCCCTAAACCCTAAACCCTAAACCCTAAACCCTAAACCCTAAACCCTAAACCCTAGAGGATAAACAGAGGATACACCCCAGAGGATAAACCCTGGGAGCCCAAGCTCATAAGCCCCATTGGACCACCCTGCAACACCGGAAACCCGACTCACCAAGCCCCTTGTGTAACGAAGCCGACGTACCCATTGGGACGTCCCCCGCTTATACGAAGAGTCCTTAAGATGGTTTAGGGTTTAGGGTTTAGGGTTTAGGGTTTAGGGATTAGAATAGGGGTACTATGGACTGCTGGTACAATCCCCAGTAAGGACTGCTGGTACAAGGGGGAACACCCCAACCTACCTATATCAACCTCGCATCAAAAAACCCTAAAAGCCCTCGGAGCCCTAAAACTAACCACAAATTTGCCCGACCAACTCGATGAACCCTAGCCCCCCCCCCCCACCACCAAAAAAAAAAACAAATAGACAAATAAACAAATATGCATATATATATATATATATATATATATAAACCCCAAACCCCAAACCCTAAGCTAAAAGCCCAAACCCTAAGCTAAAACCCCAAACCCTAAACCCCAAACCCTAAACCCCAGGTCCTCGCGAGCCAGGGCTTCCGTCTCAGATGCCGGGGACAGAAAGCGGAACAGCGCCATCGTCTCCGCGGGACGTGGGTGAATGCCAAAGCTGCGCAAGGCACAGGCCTGGGGTTTAGGGTTTAGGGTTTAGGGTTTAGGGTTTAGGGTTTAGGGTTTAGGGTTCAGGGTTCAGGGTTCAGGGTTGAGGGTTCAGGGGGTATGAAGTTTCCGGTTCTGTCTCTGAAGGGCCTTCTCAGCTCTCATCGCCGGAGCTAAGCCCTGAGACATGAATCCCAAACCCTACAACCCTAAACCCTAAACCCTAAACCCTAAACCCTAAACCCTAAACCCTAAACCCTAAACCCTAAACCCTAAACCCTAAACCCTAAACCCTAAACTCCATGCCCCAAGCCTGAATCCTAAACCTTTGGGGCCCTGTCTTGAGGATCCTACAAAGGGCCACATTCGGAGTATATTCAAGGAACCCCTTGAGGGGTACATCCTGGTCCGAGTATGACTCCCTTGAAAGCTATAGACACGAAGACCCGAAGACCGTAAACCCTAAGCACTTACACTTTCAGAGCGCACCAGAATCTTCAGCCGTTCCGTTTAAATAGCGGTTTCGAGTTTAGAGTTTTAGACTTGAGGGTCCCTAAAACCCAGGGTTTAGGGTTTACAGGGATTTATAATGGTTTGTAGGGTTTACAGGCTTCGGGTGACCATCACATGAGGGCTCTTGCTGAGGACGGAAGAACACGTTGCCATGATGTGGACACCATGTCATCTACTAGTATACTGTATATATATATATATAATGTATATCCACATTCTGGTAGCTTGGTCTAACTTCCCTAGGAGCATCCCAGAAAAATGAAAAGGTCTGGTTCTTAGCAGGGAAGTAGGGAATAGCCTAAGTAATATAACCGAAACAAAGCAGAACTTGTGGTGGGTACCTCATCCCCGGACCCGACTATGAATCCTCAACCCCCTTAAACCCTAAACAACTTTAGCCCGAAACCCTAAACCCGAAACCCTAAACCCTGAACCCTAAACCCTAAACCCCAAACCCTAAACCCCGAACCGTAAAAAAGGGGGGGGACTAAAGTGGGGGCATCCTCGTGGGGACCGTAGGCAGACGAGGCAGGCCAGCGCGGCCACGGCACAAACTCCTCCACCGAGATGTGGCCATCCTTGGCTTCGAGGTTAGGGTTTAGGGTTTAGGGTTTAGGGTTTAGGGTTTAGGGTTTAGGGTTTAGGGTTTAGGGTTTAGGGTTTAGGGTTCAGGGTAAGGCTTCAACAAGGTCCTTCATCAGGGACGGGGGCTTCATTGGGGGGGTAGGTACCTAAAAAACCTTAAGGGAAGCTTTAGGGAGCCTTAGGGAGTAGCGGGGAGTATTCGGGGACCCTAAACCCTAAACCCTAAACCCTCAACCCCAAACCCCAAACCCCAAACCCCAATCTTAAACCCCACTTCAACCCCTCTCCCTCAAGGACCCTATAGCAAACCACAGGAGCTCCTTTTGTTGGCAGGCCTGGGTTCTCCTCGCATAACCCGGAGCAAGTTTAGAAATGGGGTTTAGGGTTTATGGTTTCGGGTTTAGGGTTTCGGGTTAAAGTTGTTTAGGGTTTCAGGGAGTTCAGGATTGCTGGTAAGGGTTTAGGGCTTAGGGTCCCTCTACCCGAATCGCATAGGGTAGGTGGACTCAAAACCCTACAACCCTACACTCTCAAGCCCCAAAGCCTAACCATAAAAACCTAAACTTTAAACCCTAAACCTTAAACGTAAACCCAAACCCCAAACCCTACACCCTAAACCCCCAACCCCAAAACAGAAACTCCAAAACCCTAAACCCCAAACCCCGAAACCCCGAAACCCCGAAACCCTAAACCCTAAACCCTAAACCCTAAACCTTCATCTCCAAGTTTCGTCATCCATGTCGAAGCGCTCAAAGGCCGTAGCCATGACCACGCGCAGCTGCCGAAAGGAGAGGTGCCTTGCGGTTTAGGGTTTAGGGTTTGGGGTTTGGGGTTTAGGGTTTAGGGTTTAGGGTTTAGGGTTTGGGGTGTAGGGTTTAGGGTTTAGGGTTTAGGGTTTAGGGTTTAGGGTTTGGGGTGGTTTAGGGTTGGGAGTTTAGGGCTTGGGGTTTGGGGGCTAAAGGTTTCGGATCCAGGTTGTAAGGTTTAGGGTTTAGGGTTTAGGGTTTAGGGTTAGGATTTCAGGGAACAACGAGGTCTATTCCAAACCCTTTGAACCCTGAAAACCATTTCAGCCCCTAAGGGTCCACGTACCTAGTTCACACTTGGGCCTCAAAAGGGGCTCGCACGAAGTAGCTTTGGGGCCCTAAACCCTAAACCCTAAACCCTAAGCCCTAAACCCTAAAGCCTCAACGGCACATGGACCACCAGGTCTTGACACTTCAAGGTGCGTCTTCGAGCCCACCACGGCCGAAAGGAGATCCCGGAGAGTCTGCATGAAGTTCTCGCGTGTGATCTCCTCTCTCCCATGGCTGCCTCGGAGGTCTAGGGTTTAGGGTTTAGGGTTTTAGGGTTTAGGGTTTAGGGTTTAGGGTTTAGGGTTTAGGGTTTAGGGTTTAGGGTTTAGGGTTTAGGGTTCAGGGTTCAGGGTTCAGGGTTTAGGGCAGGGTGATCTCCTCTCTCCCATGCCTGCCTAGGAGGATCGCCAAGGCCTTTTTTTCGGGCCGAGGGCTTTGGCTACACGATTCTGAGCTGAAACCGAAAGCACATTAAGCCCTAAACCCTAAAACCCTAAACCCTAAACCCTAACCCTAAACCCTAGACCCTAAACCCTAAACCCTAGACCCTAGAACAGTTGGTTAATAAGTACCCTAAACCTCCAAGCAGCTGAGCATGGCGTGGATCCGCACCGCGTCCGCGGGGCTGAAGCCCACCTACCAGTCAGAGGGGGGGGGGGGGGGGGGGCTGTTGGGGAATTTAGGGTTTAGGGTTAGGGGTTTAGGGTTTGGGGTTTAGGGTTTTGGGTTTGGGGTTTAGGGTTTTGGGTTTGGGGTTTGGGGTCTCGGGTTTTTAATGGTACTTGCACGGTGCAATGGCCTTTTGGGATTTATACATTTTAGGATGTATAGGGTACAGGTCTGCTTGGTGTTTCTCGGACACTGAATGCCACGAAGCTCGCCCAGCATGCCAAGCAGTCGTGTCAGACCCGGACGCTACAGGGTCAGACGGATTCCAATCTTCATATTTATCAACATTTGTCCCCCCCCCCAAAGCAGCCATGGAAGGAAGCAACCGCTTCATCTCTGGGGTTACATACGCATGATGTACGTACACCCTAAACCCTAAACCCCTAAACCCCTAAATCCTAAATCCTAGACCTACCGGGGTTCCCGTATTCTCCCAAATAGGTCAAGGGCCCACTTTGGGGAGGAACTTCAGTGAAGATCTGTTGGGCTCCCCGTAGCCCTTGGAGGGGTTTAGGGTTTGGGTTGTCCTAAACCTTAAGTCCTTGGGGTTCTTGGGCTTCCTAGGAATTATAGGGATCTTAGGGTTCTTCGGGTTCTTTGGGCGTCTCCGGATTCAGAGTGCGGGCGCAAAAAGAAGGGCATGAGCACAACAAGGATGTCCGTATTAGCTACTCAGTCCATACATCAAGAGCTCCTTGCTGCCTGTGGCTGAGTTGCTATATGTGAAAAATGTAAAAGGACACGTATGCAGAAGAATCTCACTAGCAGTTAAGGCCCCACAAGACCCCCCCACCCCTCACCCGCAAACTCTGTTTGTAGGGTTTAGGTTTTTAGGGTTGGTGCGTAGGATGTAGTGGGTTGAACAAGTAGGTCCCTTGATGGCTGCCATGCACCCGAAACCCTACTTGAAGGTTCATGGTACGCATTAACCAATTAGAACTGTACTTATAATCCAACATATAACCATCTTAGGGCACTTGAGGGGCTTATAAGTGAGTATAAGTACAGTTATATAATTGGTTCAGAAGTACCCTGAACCCTAAACCCTAAACCCTAAAATCTAAACCTTAAACCCAAAACCCTAAACAACCCAGTTATAATTGGTTCATAACACTCCCGCTGTGCACCTGGTAGCGATCGTTCAGCTCATCCGTCGCCGCCTGGATAAAGTGAACGTCGACTTCCTCCGCCTGGCAACGCCAACATAGAGCCAAGGAATAACCCTAATCCCTACTCCCTAAACCCTAAACCTAAACCCTCCCAAATATAGCTACTAGTACCCTAAACACCAGACCATGGGTTCAGGGCATGGGAATATTTACCATAGCGCCATATTAAGAGTCCCTTTGTAGTTAAGGAGTACAGGAGTCTGCATTTTAATTGCACCTAAATAGCCTGAATTATGGGGGGAACCTAGGGGGAAGAGGGGGGAGGTAGTAGAACGGGGGGAACCATGATATACAAACCCTAAATAAACCCTTAATAAACCTTCAAAATGAACCCGAAATAAACCTCTAAGTAAACCCCTAAATAAACCCTAAGTAAACCCTCAAAAACACCCTAAATAAACCCTAGCAGCAGGTTCCCCCCTGAATTACTTACTCCCCTAAACCCTAAGCCCCAAACCCCAAACCCCAAACCCTAAACCCTAAACCCTAAACCCTGGACCGCAGCTCGAGGCCTGGCTTTGCAGCCTGATGAACAGGCGGCCGAGCTCCAGGAGTGAAGGGGCGCTGGCAGCCGGTAGTGGCGTGGCTTCCTGAAGAGGAGGATTTTGGGGGGTTTAGGGTTTAGGGTTTAAGGTTTAGGGTTTAGGGTTTAGGGTTTAAACAAGTCAAAAACAGCTCTAAAACCCTTTCGAAACCTTAGCCCCCTCCCCCCCCCCCCCGATTTTCAAGCCTCCAACAAGCCCTGAAACCATCATCTGAATTTAGGGTTTAGGCTTAGGCCTTAATGAGGCTCCCGGAACCCCTATATTTTGGTAGCCCGATAGCTATGATATAATAAGGGTACCTAGGGGTGGTTTCTTACAAGGGAACCTTGAACCCTCCAAGAAAGGGGAAATTCGAGGGATTACGAAAATAGAAGTACCCTTGTTGGGTTCCAAAAAGAAGGACTCTGCTACTTTGGGGTATATTAAGGGTATCCCCTAAATAGGGGATACCCTGAATATACCCCAAAAGAGTAGAATCCTTCTTTTTGGAACCCCCAAAAGGGTAATAGGGAAAAGATAAATTGAGGCTGAGTCTCCACCCGCGGTTGGAAGTCAGGCGTGTGGAGAGCCCCGGCTGCACTTTCGAGCGCAGAAGGCGTCCAAACTGGTTCAGATGTTCAGGATCTGGGGTCTTTGGGGTCTTTGGAGGGCCTAAACCCTAAACCGCAACCGCTGACTTCTTACCCCAGTTGTAATCTACTTATAACCTACTCAGAGGACTTAGGGGGCTCTAGGGTTTCGGGCTTAGGGTCTCGGGTTTGGGGCAAACCCTCAACCCTAAACACCCTGCAAACTTCCTTCCCTGCGCAGCTTTGGGTCGGAGTCCCACCTTTCTCGGCATGCGAGCTGTTGAGCAGATTCGGAAGCGTCCGAACTTTTCCGAAGCGGCGCTTGCCTTGGTAGTCCAGCTGTCCAACCACCATCTTCCTAGAACATTCCCCCTAGATTTGCTGGCTGGAGCTACAAAAGGAGCCCCAACCGGAAAAAAACAAATAAATGAAACATAACGATGAAACAAAACCAACCATAAAGCAGGTCTCCCAAAAAAAACTACCACTGGACATCCTCGTTGCTGAAAAGCTCCCTGCCATCTTCCTCATCAGAATCCTTAGTTGCTGAGTTCGTAAGCCCCACCAAAAGAGTACACTTTCACTTCTATAGGGTATTAGAGTACCCTAAAAAGTGTAAAAAGTGTACTCATTCAGCTCCGAAGAATCTGAGTCCGAATCGATGAGGAGGTAGTGGTGGCCACCACATCCTGAACGGTTTATTAGGGTTTAGGGTTTAGGGCTTTAGGGTTTTAGGGTTCAGGCCAAGACCTTACAAAAAAAACAGCTTGACTCAGGAACCAGATGGGGAGCTTCCGAAATTGCGGGAGGGGGTACCTTCTTGGGGTCCTCATTTGTGCCTGAGTCTTCCTGGTCCTATTTGAGGGGCTATACCCTAAACCCTAAACCCTAAAGCCTAAACCTATATTCGGGGGTTACAAAACAGCCTGGCTAAATCACATGTCTTCACACCATATTATGGGCATTTCCCAAAAAAGGCGGGGGGGAATAGAATCCCCTTGAAGGGACCCCCCAAAAAGGGTGCCCCTATTTCGAAAACCCCCGTATGCAGCGTCCCCTACATGTGATTTTAAGTATGCCCTGGTCCCAAGATCTGGAGGTAAATGCAGGCTGGCGATTACTTGCGCGGTTTGTTCAAGTAGCTTGTGGTCATGGTCCGTGGGTACATGAAAGGTACTCACCGGAAGGAACACCTTTTGCCGGAAACAGGAAACTCCCAGTTGACACTGGCCGGACAGCTCATTGCGCACACTCAAACACAAGACTGGCATGGAGCCTGGTCTCTGCTACGAGTAGTAGACGTTTCAGCAATGCATAAAAGGCATGCGAGGTGAGATAAGCCTATACCCTTGTACGGTAATTCCTGACCTCGTGGCCCCGGAAAAACCAGCTGGAACAAAGCCAAAATCCTTATCATGGAGACGCAGACTGCTTGCACGAACACTAGAGCATCCCGCCCTATACCTGAAAACCCCCCTGGCACTGAAGAAAAGCTTAGAGTTTAAGGTTTAGGTTTAGGGTCTCCTGCGGCCCGGCGGACCCACAACCTTAGGAATCCCCTGAAGGCGTTTTACTTACTGGCCCAAAACCCAAGGAAATAAAAGTTGAAACTTTCAGAATAAACTACCTTATAAGAAGCCCAAAAGTTGAAAAGTTGGGTTTTGAGCCAGTAAGTTTAAGCCTTAATCACCAAGGAATCCCCCAAGCTCTGGCCCCAGCCTCCGAAGAACTCGACCCCCCCAAATCCCCCAAAGCCCCACTCACCCTTTGTTGATCCGAACCCCTAAACCTTAGACCCTAAATCTTCCAGAGCCCCATAAGCCCTCATCCTAAATCCTAAACCCGAAACAACCCTAAATCCCAATTCAAAGCCGAATTCCTAAACCCGAAACAACCCTGAACCCCAGCTCAAAGCCTAAACCCTAAACCCGAAACAACCCTAAATCCCAGTTCAAATCGTAAACCCAACACACCAAAGCGACCCCAGACCCGAATTCAAACCCTATAAACCCTATATTGAGCCTAAACCCTAAACCCTAAACCCTAAACCCTAAACCCTAGACCCTAGACCCTAAACCCTAAACCCTAACCCCTAAACCCTAAACCCTAAACCCTAACCCTAAACCCTAAACCCTAAACCCTAAACCCTAAACCCTAAACCCTAAACCCTAAACCCTAAACCCTAAACCCTAAACCCTAAACCCTAACCCTAAACCCCGACTGATCCTGTCTCGTCGGCCGTCGGAAGTGGTTGCTCGCTCGGCTTGCTGGAAAGGGCCTTCTAGGGTTTAGGGTTTAGGGTTTAGGGTTTAGGGTTGAGGGTTTAGGGTTTAGGGGTTCTGCCTTGGACCCTGAAGGTTGTGCCCTTGGGTTTTGGGGGTCCCTTTTTTTAAGGATCCCTGAAAGATGTAAGGGCCATACTAGGAGTATAGTGAGGGGAACCTCTAGGGGTACATCCTTGGGGGTAAGAGTCTGAATGCGTTGAGGCCTGAGGCCTCTTGAGCACGTAGGGCAGTTATGTGGCTCGTTTTTGGGATGTAGGCCCTAACCCCCAAAACCCTGAACCCTAAACCCTTTTTGTGGAAGACTGGCGCGTGCGAAAAGGAACGAGGATTTTGAGAGCTGGCCCTAAACCCTAAACCCTAAACCCTTCAAACCCTAAAAGCCCTTTAGTGTCGAAGGTTTTTTTGGGTCAAGCAGTTGAGGGAGATTCACCCCACACCCCCTAAATCCTAGCTATCCTCTCGCAACCCTGCAGAGCAAAAGCCACCGTTCGGTAGAAAAGGGGAAACGCCCGATACGAAAAAGTGCTGAAAACCTCAAGAGCCTTCAATCCCCGACCTCAAACCTTTAGGGTTTAGGGTTTAGGGTTTAGGGTCAGGGCGGCCCTGAGAATAACCCCCTTAGCTCGAAAAGCAGCCATGTCACCTGGGTCTGGGTACCTTCGACGGCCACGGCAGTTCTCTGCACCCTCTTGGCCCTGGCCTTTGTTCGCAGCTTGTAGGGCTTAGGGTTTAGAATTGAGGGTGTAGGACTGGGCTTTCGGGTTAGGGTTTAGGCTATCCACTCTCCTCCAAAAGCACCTTACTAGTGACTAGTGGCAGGGGAACGCATTGAGATTTGTGTAGGCTTTTTTGGCGGGGGGGGGGGGGGATCGGGTAGGGTTCAGGGTTCAGGTTTATGAAACACAGAGTCAGAGGCCTTGTCTTGGTAACCCAGTAACCATATTACAATGAGGATACCCTTGTTTGGCGTTAGCTATTTTCACAAAGAACCCCTAAACCCTTCACCCGGAGCAAAAGGGCCCCCACTGGCTACCAATTGTTTGCATCTTCTGGGACTTGTACCTTGGCCCCTTAAGGTTGTACTTCTTGGGTTTTGGGAACCTTGTTAAAAGATCCTTCAGGCAGCATAAGGGCTATAATTATTAGATTATTAGGCGCATGCTAAGGAGAACCCCCCCCCCCTAAACCCTAAACCCTAAACCCTACAACCTTTAGGGGTTCAAATTTTGAGGGCACGAGTCTTAGTTCCTTGATACCAATTTGTGCATCTGCATGTTGTGTTGCCTGCCATGAGTCGATGACTCCAACGAAGGCGTTCGCACGCAAGTGTAGCGGAGCCCTAAACCCTAAACCCTAAAAACCCTAAAAACCCTAAAAACCCTAAAAACCCTAAAAACCCTAAAAACCCTAAAAACCCTAAAAACCCTAAAAACCCTAAAAACCATAAAAACCCTAAAAACCCTAAAAACCCTAAAAACCCTAAAAACCCTAAAAACCCTAAAAACCCTAAAAACCCTAAAAACCCTAAAAACCCTAAAAACCCTAAAAACCCTAAAAACCCTAAAAACCCTATAAACCCTAAACCCTAAACCCCAACCCTAATCCCTCCTAAACTCCAAACCCTAAACCAATCTCGCTGTACCAAAGACAAAAGACCTCCTGATTCGGTTTCGTGCTTCAGGTTGGGTTCAGACTAGCACGGCTAGTTCCTGGCTCCTGGCAAACGTAGCCCAGACCCTATTAGAAATCTTACAAACCGGATGAATCCCGAACTGATGTCGTTCGCTTGCTAGCTTGTTCTGCGCATCCCTGAGAAAATAGAGCTAAGATCATAGTCTCGCCAGGAAGCAGGCTCGAGAATGAGCAGGCGACGCAAAAGCAGACATAAGTCAGCACAGAAAACAAACTCGAAAATAGTTGGATGCTCCAGCTTTTCTGACTTGCTTCCTTCCACCGTTTGTCTGACTTACACGACTGAACCCAAACCCTCTCCACCCTAAGCCCTAAGCCCTAAGCCCTAAGCCCTAACCCCTAAACCCTAAACCCAAAACCCAAAACCCAAAACCAACAACCCAAAACCCTAAACCCCCTAAACCCCCTAAACCCACCCACCCCCTCCCCTGGCCTGCCGCCGATATCTCCGAAACGGCACGGCCAGGGCCCCCAAAATCATCAGCACGGGGGCTGCTGTATAGAAGGACCATCCTGCTCATGTGGGTGCGGGGCTTAGGGTTTAGGGCCAGCGAGGGTGGATGCTCCAGGATTCTACAGGGGTTCTGGTTTCAGGCCTAAACCCTAAACCCTAAACCCTAAACCCTAAACCCTAAACCCTAAACCCTAAACCCTAAACCCTAAACCCTAAACCCTCAACCGCAGCTTCCTACTGTAAGGGGCCTTTGCTGTTGTACGGATCTTAGAGGTTTGGGTTGCTGCGGGGATTCGGGAGCAGAGCTTCGAACCTAGAAAGGGGGAGAATGGGGCCCACTGAGAGATGCAGGTGGCTTCGGGGTCTAGGGCTTGTGAGGGCCACAGGGGTGTTTTAGGGTGTTTAGGGTTTCTTAGGGTGTTTTTTGGAAGTCTTTTTCCAGTGTTTTTTTTAAGGGTTTTGGGAGGTTTGGCGGGGGAGGTGAACAGAAGGCGGCGCTGCCTCGAATGAAGCCGGCGCTCCTAAAAAGAACGGCACCGCCCTAAACCCGAAACCCTTAACCCTAAACCCGAAACCCTAAGCCCTAATTAAGCCCTAAGCCCTAAGCCCTAAGCCCTAAACCCGAAACCCTAAGCCCCAAACCCCTTGGTAGGGAAGGCCCCTGCCATGTCCCAGAGAGGAGGCACCTAGACCCTAAGCCTGAGCCTAAACCCTTTCCCTCCCCAACCCAAATTCTCAACCCTATAAACCCTATATAAACCCTATAGAAACCCTATATAAACCCTATAGAAACCCCATATATACCCTATTAACCCTACATAAGCCCAACATAAGCCCTATCAAAACCCTTTATAAGCCATCCATAAGCCCCCCTGATGGGCTTACAGGGGAGTCTTCAGGGTAATTGGGGTATTTAGCGCAGTTTTTGGGGTTTGGGGTATTTAGGGCTTTAGGGATTACCCTAAACCCTAAACCCTAAACCCTAAACCCTAAACCGGGTTTAGGGTGCTTGGGGATCCATGGGGGCACCGCGCCCAAATGTCCATGGGTTGTTCACGGTGGACCACAGTGGAGGTCCCTGCCCCGGAACCTTCTAAACCCCACATTTAGGGTTTAGGGTTTAGGGTTTAGGGTTTAGGGTTTAGGGTTTAGGGAACCCCAAGCCCCGAAACACCTGCGATGTACACCACGAAACACTAAAGCCTACACCATGTCCAGAAGAACCAACCCCAACCTCCCTGTCAAGCCGAGAGCACAGTAGCACATTTTGAGGGTACAGTCTGGAGGGTTTAGGGTTCTTGGGCTCAAGGCCCTTAAGCGTTGTAACAAGAGATCCTAACAACAACACCTTAAACCTAAACGGAGGGGGGGGGGGGGGTGTGGTCCATGGCAGAACCGGCCTGGTCCATTGCGAAAGGAAGGAGGTTCCTCGGTCCTCAGGGCTTTCGGGTTTGGGGTTTAGCCTGTTACCCTACAGTAAGCCCCAAAAAGTTGGAAACCTTTTGAAGGCCAAATAGTGCTGGGATTCCCTATACTTTACTCTTAGGGATTGAGGCTATTGAGTTCCAACTTTTTGGCTTCTGCTATAAGCCCAACCCCTAGGCTAGGGAAAGGATCGACCTGGGATCGGGAGTACGCCAAGCTTTTAGGATTGTTTTAGGGTTTAGGGCTTTGAGGTCTGGGCTGTGGGGAGGACCATTGGGAAACGAGTCCCTTCTGGGGGGGTTGGTTTATGGGCATTTTGAGAACAGGTCTTCTGCAACTAATAGGAGGTTCAGGGTACTTACTAACCAATTATAACTGTACTTATAA